TGTGTGAAAACAATGGAAAAAGAAGGAGATTGAAGGAAGATTAGCTAGAGAAATTACTCTGTCCACTCTGTGGCTGTTATGGAGGCCACAGAATCCGTAAAAATATTCCTGAATTTGCCCTCGATTTGCTCTGGATCACCTAGTACAAGGGTGTCAAACGCAATTTCATTGAGGGCCCCATCAGGGTTGTGTTTCACCTCGGCGGGCGTGGCCATGGCCGGGGGGGGAGCATGACCATCTCGACATGACTCATTGAGGCTCCGTTTTCAACTGCGCCAGCCTCCTCCAGCCCTCTGCCAGTGAAAACTGAGCTCAGGAGGGCTACATGCGCCTACCCGCCCCCCTCCCCCCCAGTTCCGTTTTCACTGGCAGAGGGCTGCAGGAGGCCAGCATGGCCAAAAATGGAGCCCAGGTGGGCCCCACACAGCGCCCCAGAGCTCCATTTTCACTGGCAGAGGCACTGCGGGCCAGTCCTTCCCTGTTTCCAGGGTGGGCCCTCAGGCCAGATCAAAGCACCCTGCGGGCCTTGAGTGTGACACCCTGACCTAGTACCAGTGTTGAGGGAAAGGATCGTTGCCTGCCTTCTAACCATCTCTTTTCTTTTCGAATCACAGCAAATTGCTGGGCTGCAAACAGAAGATCATTGACTTGCTTCCCAGCATCGATGTGGCTCTGAACAGCATCAAGGAGGCCGACAATTCAGTCATGCAAATGCAGGGGAAAAGGCAGAGAGAAATCTGGCATTTGCTGAAAATAGCTTGCGTAAGGATGTGGCTCAACCAGGCCACGTTGATCAATATCCAATGCCACCCATCAACCTTACATTATAAATAAGCCTTGCATTTGTCTATCAGTTGGGCGACATTGCTAACATATAAGAGGAGTTTGGTTCAAATACTAGCCTAGACTGATGTCTGATGGTTGAGAGAGAGAGAGACTGTCTCACAATGTGTCTCTCAGAAATATTCGGCCAACTTTCTCCCCAGAATTCAGGGGTTTCGTTGTACCTCACCCGGAAAAGCTGAGTACAGATTTGGACAACACGGGGCATGGCAGGGTGGGCCACTCTTAAGATCCCATTTTATATCCCTAGCGTCAGCCCTTCAACCTGCATTTACTCTAGTGCTGACATAAAAAGGAGAAGCGAAGGCGTCTGGAAAGGGACGTTTGACTTTTCACCTACTTATTTTCCCTGGAGATAATATCCCCTAGGAGATGGGATGGGAGGGGGGAAATTCCTTTGAGCTGGAGTAGATTAGGGGTAGAATGATTTGGAAGATGGCCAATGAGTGCAGGGGAGTGGGGAACGGAAAGGGAGGGTTTTGGGGCTGGACGTCAGTGTTGGCTTCGTTTGGAGTTAGGTTAGAATGTCGTGCTTAATAAATAGGAGTTTTTCTTCAAAGATTTGGTTTGAAATGCAATTTATCTGAGACGACCTCGAAACTTGACACCTAGATTAGGCAGGGCAAAAACATTTTGAGCACAGAAACGTTTGAAAATTTGGGTGTGGCTGATTCTGATGATATTCAGATGTCAACCAGCCCCATCCTTGTGATTGGTCATCTCAACATCACCTGCTGAATGTCAGCCGTGAGTGGATTTGCGCTGTTCTGACGCCCTCATTTCCCACAGCTGTTTAAGGCTTGAGAGCCTCACCATATCGGCCACCCTCTTGGCCGTGGTCGCAAGACAGAGCTACCCAGCAAGCTCTAATCCCAGTCAGTTCATTCAACCTTTGAATGCCAGCAGTACAGCAGCCGAGTGCAGCTTATACGTTTTTCATCTTCGGGTGTCCAGAAGGAAACGGCACACCGTTGATGCTGCTGATGGGGGGAAAGTTACTTAACGCTCTGAATGCTGCTGTCCAGAGTTTCATGTATACCAAACAACTCCAGAGTTTGGTCTCTTGGACCAGTTGGGAATAAATGCAGGACGCAGGTAACTCTGCTAAAGGCCTGCATGTCTATTCTAACACCACCTATTTTTCCTTTTCCTTGTAGACTCAGAGTTCTGCTCGATCGGCCAGCTCCAGCGTGGATGGTCCGGTCCCGTCTTCTGTGCCCGCCTGGCTCTCCCAAACTGCGCCGGCCAATGTGCTGCAGGCGTTGCCTTTCATGGAAGTCTCTAGAAACACGTAAGAGACGGGGGAGGGGCTAGATATCCTGCCTCAAAGCTGGCAGTTGAACTCCCGCCAGGAAATGCAGCACTTCATTAAACAAACCATTTAGCGAAGAAGGCAACATACAAATAGAAGAGCTTTCATTTTTAACAACGTCAAAGAGCCATATGCTCCGAATGCACACTTAATAGAATAAAGAACATCTACCACCTGACATGAAATTGAAATTTAAAGGAAAAAAGAAAAGAATGCTTGAAAATAGGTCACCATTTAAGACCATAACTGTGGGCTTAATTGCAGTTGTAAATCTGAGGATAATTGTAATTCATATCGCAAAATTTCATCCTCCCAAAAGGAAAGACCTGGGATTAGGATTGCTGAAGAGAAGGAAACACCCCTGATTTTGATTCGTGTATTTAAATAGTTTCCCTTCTTGTTGGGAGTAGCTGGAATAGAGAGCAGCCATCTTTGTTCTTTTCTTGACAGGTTGAATTTTGCACATTTGTTAGAAGAAAACCTAAGCTATCTTGACAGTTTTAGCGCCGTTATACACGAAGCGAGACACAACCAAAATAGCAGCATGATGGTGAGTTGAAGCCTCCCTTCGACACTCATACTTTTAATAAATAATTCACTTATTAAGAAGAAAAGACAGCTTGGAAAGTAGGTTATTCACTAATTCAGCAAGAGAAACTCGTCTACTTTAGAAGAAAATGAAGATATCCAAGCAAAAACTTTGCATAAGCATTTTGGTAAGGAAGACATTTGATGCTTCCTTCCACTTGATCTTATGTGAAGAATTCTCCATGAGTTTCCTCCAGGGAATTTTGCAGCTGGGTGGGATGCAGTGAACGGGGTGATCAGTCCTATCCTGTGAGTAAAAGGGAATAATAAAAGTGAATTGTACACTATCCGGTCCTTTTAATATGGCCAGCAGTGGGGAAAACACAATTCTCTTTATTTGGCCTGCAGGTATTTTAGGTGTCCTCTTTTGTGCAAGAGGACTGTTCAACAGTAAAGAAAACACAGAGATTGTTCCTCAATTACTAGTTTGAATTTCAGACCATTTTATATCGATTACTGCATAACAACACAGGGAGCCCTTCAGGTTATTGCCTTGTTTTCTTTTGCAGAGTCTCGACTGGAGTTGGCTGGATTAGAGTGTCTGATGTTGCACATCCTTATTTGCAAAAATGGGCCTTTTAACTTAAAATACCTCTTTCCTTTTAATTAAAGAAGGACCCAGATCGAAGATTTTGCATCTTTATCCAGTTCTGGAGGTTTTGGACAAGTGGCCCTGCTTTTCCCTCTAAAGCATCACAGATAGAACATCTCCCATCACAGGATCTGTAATGCACTGTAATTAAATACCCCTCAAAAGATCACATCGTGTTAAGGCAGAAATCACGAAAGATGTAAAATAAATCATCTGTTATGTATATATTAATAGAAGAGAATATATGTAGCTCAGGGTTGAACTGTGAAGTCTTTGGCACTCTCTGAGTTTGTTTTCTTAACAGACGTTTCGTTACCCAGTTAGGGAATAGCATCAATGATTCACTTACGATGCTACCTAGTTGGGCAAACCCCACCATCTTCTAGCACTGATGGTGTTACCTAGTTTGGTAATGAAACATCTTCAAGCAAATAACCAAACTCGGAGAGCCCCATGACTCCATATAGTTTATTACACACCTTGTGAATTGTTCTCTTTTGTGTGATCCTTGCGGAAATTATTCATAGTATATTTCTAATGAACAACATTGGGAGTATTTTGTAATATATTAAGCAACTTTTTTTGTTTTCACTTTGAAAATATCTGACACTTGTCCTCCACCTAAAAACAATAGCTTACAAATGTCACAAATAAAATAATCTCAACCAGTAAGAAATCAGCTTGAGTCTTTTATGTTTTTGTCAAACCATCTGTGAATAAAAATAAGCTAAATAGTTATCTTAATATTGAGAGTAATTTTGCAAAACTCTGCCATGTTGACTTTATGGGAAATAAGAATGTCTAGCACTCGTCCCACCAGATATTACCCTGAGGTTCATGGCAGTCGAGGGTGGCTAACCCAGAGGGAGTAATTAAAGTACCAGGCTAGAAACTGGGAGAAAGTGAGTTCTAGTCCCACTTTGGGCACCAACCAAGCCTGCTGAGTGACCCTGAGCCAGTCACTGTCTCAGCCCTAGGAAGGAGGCAATGGCAAAACACTTCTGGGAAACCATGCCAAGAAAACGGCAGGAGCTTCTCCGGACAGTCTCCACAAATAGAATCTAAAGTTTGGGGGGGGGGGGGGTGAGTGAAAGGAAGAAATTCAAGCAGTGTTACAAAACACACACCTTGAACTATATTTAAGAAGCTTATGGGATGCTTGTCATATGATATCTCTGTATACTTTGTGGCAGTGAGGGGCTGCTGGAAAAGCCCCATTGGGTGTCAGCCCTGCGAGGTAGGCCAGCCAAGCAGCACTCCCAGAAGAACCGGCTCTGGCTTTACTGTAAGGTTACATTAACAAAATACCTTGCAAGCCTGAAAAGACATTCCTCCCCCCGCTTCCCCACCCCCACCCCCAAAAAAACACTTTTACAACCGCAGAAACTAGGCAGGGAAGCTCCTGGGAAGCTTGTAAGTGGCCTTTGTGTGGCCCCGGATGCTGCAATGATTGTCAATACGTAGCAGTTCCAAAGAACCCAACATTTTGATCATGGGGACCCTGCAACGGTCATAAGTGCAAAGACTGGGGGTTAAAGTCACTTTTTTCACTTTGAACAGTCATTAAATGAATGGCCTTAAATTGAGGATTACCTGTAGAGCCTCTTAGTTCAAATGTGGTGTGTAATCTAAGTGTGTTACATAAAGAGACCTGAAAAGAGAAACTACGGTATAGATGGAAGATTTAATGGTTTCTATATGAAGCTAACTTAGTAGTTTCCATACTACCCAAAATATGAGATTGGCTTCCCGCAATCTTAACTTCTCTCTCTCTGTGCTACTTCTTCTTCTGTCTTCGGTGGATTCTTTCGTACACCTTCGATACAAGGCGCAGGTCCGCAGCTTCTTTTGAGGGGTCAGAGTCCAGGTTCTTTAATACCTTCTTCACATTGGCCAAGATTCTGCTGATCTTCTCCAGCACGGAAGGCCTCACCAGGTGGTCCCTGGTTCCATATTGCTGAAGGACCCAAAGCATGGCTGGATCCTTCAGCTGCCAAAAGCCGTGGGAAAAAGGGCAAGACGGATTAAGAAAGATTTGAAGTATTGGGGGGGGGGGCATGGATTATATGGTTATTAATCCATAATGTTAACATCAATGCTTCCTTCGTTCATATTTTTGCTTATATATATATATATCCAACGTTACATCCCACATTCAGCCTCAGAGCTACCTGCTAACCAACTTGGTTTTTTTTATGCAACTCGGTTCTTCACACTCAAAGTCAAAAGACATTTTCAAAAGAATTGGGAGTCCATTGAGAGGGAAGAATCTATTGCTGCAACATTTCCAAGGGTGAATTTTTAATAGGGAAATACAAAAAAACGCAACATACATACACAAAATCCAATCAATAGTGGTTATAAAGTAAGGAAAGAAAAGCTAAATATAATTGTAGCGATTAAAAGAGTGATAAGAAGAAGACCCAGAAAATAACAAAATAGATTTAATTCAATTCTTTTCATCCCAGAATTTTTTTTCAGTTTACTCTATAAACAAGATTCCATAAATGAAATGAGGCCTTTTTCAATAGCACCTTATGAAAAGCAGCCTTGTGATACAAAGAAACATCCAGAAATATTTCCATTTTGAACATGCAGGAAAGATCACTTTTCTCATAATTTTCCTCAGCCTCCTTCATAGGTGGTGTGACTCCCTTGTCATGTTATTTATTTATTATTTTCTTTATTAAATGTATAGAGCCACCCAACTCATCCCGGGCACCGTATATTAAACCCCATTTTAAAAAGCCCCACCCCCACCCCCCACCGAAGCAGCAACCACACACAATCAAATCAGCCTCTTGCTTGGCACCGTTTCCCTCCGGGGCCCCCAGGCCCATTGACAAAGCCACATTTTTAGGGCCTTTTGGAGAAGCAACAGGGTGGGGGCCAATTGTACCTCATGGGGAATGATGTTCCATAAAGAAGGCCCTCATTCATTCACTGGCCACCCATCTTACCATAGTGTAACTCTGAGCACCTTACAGTTACATATACAGTTAAAACATAAAAAAATAAAAACACATTAAAACCAAGGACACATGGGGAGGGATGGGGGGGATCTGTTGTTATTCAATCCCCTCCATCGTGCTGTCCCCCCACTGGAGCCCCAAGCCAATTGGCAGAGCCACATCTTTAGGCCCTTATGAAAAGATAGGGGGGTTGGGGCCAACCTCACCTTGGGGGGGGGAGATGTTCCAGAGGGCAGGAGCCACAGCAGAGCAGGCCCTCCTCCTGGACCCCCTGCCAGCCAGAAAACTCGGGTGAAGGGGATCCCCAGCAGGCCTCCTCTGCTGGGCAGAGTGGGAGGGGCCAATCCCAGTGGGGTGAGACGGTCCCTCAAGTAAGCTGGACCCCTGCCATGAAGGGCTTGACATGCCATCACCAACACCTTGAATTGCACCGGGAAGCAGACTGGTAACTTTTCACGGCCCTCCCAGATGACAATCCCTTACCCGCCCTGACTCCTGGTCCTTATGGGCTGGTGGGTGAAATAGGAGAGAGGTGATCCTTAGGGGGGTCCCTACCCCTTACTATGCAGACCGTCTGACCCACTTTCTAGATCTCCACCCATAAGCAACGTTTGATGTTGGTGAATGATCAAAAGAAATTGCATCAAAAAGGCCAGCCCCACTTACTTTCAGCCGCGCGCCAACGTTGAGGCAGAGACAATCATGAACCTTTGTAAAAGTGAAGAAAACCTGATCTTGGGCTTTAATTTTAACCTGGATATAAACGTTGAGTTGAAGGCAGATGGGCTGGAAAGGAGGTGCGTGAACGTGGCCCTCGGTGCCCCACCAGTTCCAGAACTTCTGCCGCTGTCCTTTCTTGTCAAAGACGGAGCCGTTGCAAAGGTCCAGGTGCAGCCTAAAGCAAGAAAAGCAAAATTAAACAGGACTGAAGGTTTTGGATTTCTAGTGGGAAAAGGATGCACGCAGAAGTAAAACTGCTCAAGGTAGAATAATTTTGCACTACCTTCATTGTCTTTATGTTTTATGACATACACCGTCCGCCCACTGGAACTCGTTGAGATGGGTGGCTATAGAAATCAAATAATGAAATACATCTAGCTGATGGCGAATCCTTCCTAAACCAAAACCTTGCCAGGAAAACTGCAGGGAGTTTATTACTTACATCTTCCATACAAAGCTTTGCAAACGTTTGAAATGGTTGCGAGTAAATCCTGCATCATTTGCTGAAAACATGAGATCTGTGTTCTCTACATTAAGAAATGTCCACAGAAGATTTTTAAAAATCAATACTTTTGGCTCTCAAAGCTCTGCTCCTTTTCACATGCAATATGTGCAAATGTAGTCATAATTGCCCATATTCTTTATGATCACAATCCAAACCATCTGAATCCTGATTAAGATTTATATAGGTAGTCTTCCATTTGTGTCCCTTTTGTTTAGTAACCATCCCAAGTTGCAACTGCACTGAAAGAAGTTATAAGTGTGGTCATAAGTTGAGAACCACCTGACCATCATTCTGTGAAGAGGTTTTTATTTCCCTTTGGGCATTAGTTTCTATCTGGCTCTTCGAGAACGCCTCAGGATATGGAATAATTGGAGCCTGATCAGCGCCAAGTGTGCAAACCCGGTAAGCATCTTGTGGCTTTTCTTTTGGGGTTGTCGTTGCGTTGTACTGTTGTATGCTGCTTAAAGCTCTTTCCTTACCTGAGCTTTTCTTTTTGCTGGTAATAAGCTGCGTGGCCCTGGTTTGTGAAGAAGGCCAGAAGTTCCTGGTCCTTTCTGTCCCCGAGGATGCTGTAGGTGAACTGGGTCTCCCTCACATAAGCAATGAGGAGGGCAAGGCGGCCTGATGGGTAATTGAGAAGGAGCTAAGGAAGGATATGGTTTATTCGGGGGGGGGAGGAGAGGGGTAGGTATATTACAATATTATATTCTTTAGTAACATAGCAGGGGTGAAATCCAGCAGGTTCTGACAGGTTCTGGAGAACCGGTAGTGGAAATTTTGAGTAGTTCGGAGAACCGGCAAATGCCACCTCGGGCTAGCCCCAGAGTGGGATTGGAATGGAGATTTTGCAGTATCCTTCCACTGCCACGCCCACCAAGCCATGCCCAAGCCATGCCCACAGAACCAGTAGTAAAAAAATTTGGGTTTCACCACTGTAACAAAGCCTTTGTTTTGGTAATTTTATTTATATTTATTTTTATTGACAAAATATTCCTGGATGTGCTGAAGCTTCATGGAAGAGACCAGCAGCAAATGCAGAAATGGACATAAGGAGTCACCCTGGCTTCCTTTCCACCAAGATCCCCCAACCATGAGAAACTGCCCCGCCCCAGCCAGGCTCTCCAGCCCCCCCCTCCCCCCATGCCTTGACCTGCCACTCAGATGCCGCCTGGTGCTTGTGTCCCACAGAGGAAGGAATTTTGAGCTAAGACCTCTCCAAACCATCCATCCGTTCTTCCTCCACCCCAGGGGGGGGATCCAACCTTGGTGACTTTAAGACTGGTGAGCTTCAACTCTCAGAATTCCACAAGTCTTAAAGCCACCAAGACCGGAGACCCTGCCCTGCCCTGCCCTGCCCTGCATGTTATTGATTGGTGGATATTAGACTTGGCCCGTTCCATCCGGAAAAAGAAGGAAGAAGATCTTTCCATCGTGATAGTATCTTTTCACAGGCTCAAAAGGGTGGCAAAGCTGAGGAAGAAAGCAGAAAAAACATGGAAGGCAAAGGAGTTCCTCTGAAACATGGCACACGCATGTGATCGCATGACCTCCCTGGTATCAACCATGCTGCACAGCCACTGAAATGAAAGCGGGATTTTAAAAGGCCAATATGGTGCCTCTCTCTCCTTCCCTCCCTCCCTCCCCCTCCCTCTCTCCCTCCTTTTCTCTCTCTCCCCCTCTCTCCCTCTCTCTCCCTCTCTCTCTCTCTCCCTCCCTCCCTCTCTCCCCCTCCCTCTCTCCCTCCTTTTCTCTCTCTCCGCCTCTCCCTCTCTCTCTCTCCCTCCCTCTCTCTCTCCCCCTCCCTCCCTCTCCCTCTCCCTCCTTTTCTCTCTCCCCCTCTCTCTCCCTCTCTCTCTCTCTCCCTCTCTCTCTCTCTCCCTCGCTCTCTCCCCCTCCCTCCCTCCCTCTCTCTCCCCCTCCCTCTCTCCCTCCTTTTCTCTCTCTCCGGGGCACAGTCGCATAGTGACTGGGGTCTTCAGCTTCCAACTTGTTTGGTCTGAGAGATGACAGTTTTAGATTTGTGAATTGCCAGAACACCTTGTGAGTTGGGCATCCGTAGAAGTTGAATAAATAAATAACACAAGAAAGTTAAACTTCAAGAAATGGATATTTAGGATGAAAATAAGGGAGCCGTTCGACAGATAAGATACAGGGAGACCAAGCTTCTCTGGAATTAATCATAGTCACCTAATCACTAGTAAGAATCAATTATATGAAAACAAGACATTAACAGCTGGATGCAAAAATCCAGATGACCACTAGATAGCAGCAGAGTTATTTTTCTAGTGGTCTTCTGAGTTTTTGAAACCAGGACTGGAAATGGTAGACTAGAGGGCAGGACTTCTTCCTGTTGAACTGGTTGCCACAGAAAAGAGAATTTACTTGCACCAGATGTCTGCCATGGGGGGGTAGGGGGGGGGGTGCGGTTTTAAAAAAGCCTTTTGGAACTGGAGATCCACATGAAGGTTGGCTTAGGAAGGTGAGTTTGAGAGAGCCCAGCTGCCAGAAAGGAGCAGGAAGAGGCGGGTTCGAGTCCCTCCTCAGCCACCGGAGCTCCCTGAGGGACTCTGCCTCTTCCTCGCTCCCAGGGCCATTGTGGCGGAGGGAGCGGAAGCTCTCCCGAGGTTCCCTGGGGCTCCTGGGCGGAGAGGCTGGACAGAAATCAACCCAGTGCAAGAAAAAGGACCGAGGGGATTCCATCTACTTTTCCAGTGAGCTTTTGGGCACTAAATGACCTCACTGTCCACTAGGAGATCCACCTACCTTTAATTGCTCGGCTTTGAATTCCAAGTCAATCTCCAGCAGCTCTTTGGGTTCTGGATACCGTTTCTTTAGGATCGCAGTTTCTGGTTTGGGTGGGTAGTCTGATAATTTGAAATGAATTTTGACGCCTGAAATACAGTCAAGAGCAGATTAAATAGTTTGGAATGTCGGGAAGGATTCCACGGGATTTGTCTCCTTTTACCAAAGTGAAAAGGGAAGGGAAGATGCTTCCTGGTCCTTGCACATCTGGAGAGGGGAAGGCGGGGTCATCCTTATTCGGAGGAATGAGCCAGGTGGAGACGGGCTCCGGAGGGTCATACTCACATGGGCCAAATTTTATGTACTGCATAAATATCTCTCTGTATCGCTCAAAGCCTCGCTCCTCTAACCTAGGAGGAAAATGTTGGAAAATAAGCCATCAGTAGGCAAACTGCAAGGCATTTCTGCCATAAAAGCAGCTGAAGGAAACGGGCAGGAGGACAGCTAAAACCATCGGATCCGTCAATAAGGCAAGTCAGACAAAGCAGGCCGATCTTGGGTTTTCTATGGAGCCATTTTCCTCCGGCCTCTTTGGGACTTTTCCCCATCTGGCTTTATCCAAAAAGTCTTTTCATTCAGTAGGAATATGGTAGTTTGCAAACATCAGGCTGCCACAAATGGGCTGCAATTAATCTGGATGTCTACTCTCTTCCACACATTTGCAGCCCTGAGCTGATAACATGACCGGTTTATTTAAATAAACCGTACCACTTACCCTGTTTCTTATATAGGCAATTCTGACCTTGCCAGACTTAAATGTGGCCGTGCCCAGGGCTTCATTTTGGAATTGTGTTTGCCTGACAAAGCCACACTAAGATAAGGGAAAAAATATTGTGGGGGGGGGGGGATGGTGGAAATTAAGCATTCGGTGTGGACTGCAAAAATCTAGACGGCCGCTAGAGGGTAGCAGGGAGCCAAGAGTTTCAGAGAGGAGGCTGAGACATTCCACCTGACAACATTGCTTACTCTTCCATTATCATCCTTTTAGTGTTGCTCTCCATTGTTGTAAGGGACAGTCGGCCATGAGGACGGATGTCGATTTCGCTGCCTGGCCTCTCCATCAGCTCCTGTATCACACACTGGAAAACCTCTTTGTAGGTCCTGCAACACAGAAACTACAAAGGAGCCCGGGGTTCAGAGAAGGGGTGGCCGCCACGAGCCCTGCTTAGGTCTGGCATTTGCCTTTCGGTATTTAATAATCTCGAGGAGAGAATATGCTGGTGTCGTGTCCTAACGTGGCTCATGAGCGCTTCTTGATTTATTTTCTTTTAAACTGGAAAAACTTGATTCACCCAACACCTAATTGAAGGACCTTCTCAGCTTGGTCAACGTGAGCCATCGGTCTCTGCACTGCGGCTGAGAGCCATTGTCCTACAGAGCTGCTTTCCCAGATGTTTTCTACACTGTTCCTGGTGTTCTCCTGGACCGGGATTTCCCTAGATGTCTTGTTCTTACTTTTCATGGTCTCTCCAGTCATCCCTGATCAAGAATCCCAGTGAAGCTGCTAATATGTATTTACTTACACAGATTGATCTGTTGCCTTCATCCCATGGACTCTAGGCAATATACAGATCATCATCATCATCTTTCAATGACCCCATAATCCCTTGCGGGATGGAGTCTGGGCAACTGAATGGAGCCAGCAGGGTGTTTTAATGGCCAGATGCCTTTCCTGTTGCCAATGCAGAGTTCTGTTCAGCAGATATATTCTCAGTGTCTAGGCAATATACAGATGCCATGTATAATAAAAACGATAATATAGAGGCAAAAATTAGCATCAGCAGTTTTGACTCAGCTCTGCTCACACTTTCTAGAGCTAACAAAGAGCTCCGTCCCCTTCTCCCTTCTTTATTGTTCCACTTAGTGACAGAAATACTAGCACAGCAAGTGCTTTATGAGCAAATTTCAAATTTGAGGAATCATTAGAGAAGGTAAAGGCTATTTATTAATTTTAATTGTGGGTGATGTGATTCTCCTCCTCTCTAATGTGGCATAGGTTTCTTAGTATATAAAGTTTTTAGGAAGGTGTCATATTTTATGGTTAATTTTTAAAAGTCAGATAGTTTGCACTGACAGTCCTCCTAAATTGAAAACATTATTTCTAGTATCATAGACATATCGGTTTGCCCGAGCCCTTATGAGGCATGGCAGTATAAAAATGTAGTTAATACATATTTCAAATTTAAATGCCTTAAGTGTTTAGGATTATGTATACCTGGAATTTTTTAAATCTTGCTTAACATTAATTATGGTAATAGGAGTCATGTTACAGACAGATATGCAAATACGAATTTCCACTCAAGGAATAAAAATTGCACAAACTTTCTCTTAGGTAAAGTATAGGCAGAGCTGAAGTCACAACCATAATGGAGCCTGCCGCTCACGGTCGTAACTTTGGATGGCTAGAAAATGAGTCAGTCATGTGGTCGACCTGATTTTACCACTTTTTTTGCAGCAGTCATTAAGTGGATCAATAAATTGCGAATGGGCGTGGTTTTATCAAAAACTGGAAATAAACGCCAATTTTCAACAAAACCACCATAAATATGACTAGAGGAGGCTGCAAATAGCACGGAGGTGGCCGGGTTGCTGAGTGCCCGAAGGGGGGACCGTCAGGACCTTGAATCTGAATGGTAACTCCCCCCCTCCCCGTAGCTCCATCAGAACTTAGAATGGTCACTAAGCGATTGGCTGTAAATCAAGGACTACCTATCTCACGGTACCTGTTGCCCCAGGGGTGAATCCTGGGTTTGAAAGCTAATGCGCGCAATTTTGTCTCTTCCAAAACTAACGATCCTACAGAGAAGCTATATGCTATTAGCAGTGGATATTTTTAGAGTTTTATATCGTATAAGCTTTCCTCCAAAGTTTTATCAGGAAAAACCTGGTTCTTTGCACAATCAGTTCATCAGGAAATCATGATCGCCAGACAGATAGATAATTTAGAAAGAAAGACCTACGTGCTCCATCTTCTCTGGTCTCTCCTCCAGTTCCTCTGGGGATGGCAAAGGCTTCAGGAAGGAGGTGCAAAACTCACAGCGACCCATCAGGAACAGATCGGTGACCGGATGTTCCTCAAAGACACAAAGGTGTTAAATCTTTTTCCCTCAGATTGAATCAATGGTGCAAAACGTTCTGTAGGTAAACTTGCTTATACACAGGTCATCCAGTATAACAAACAGCTTCTACGTTCATGAAAATCATTGTTCCCATTCAGCAAGAGCCTGATTCACAACTGGACGGAAAAACAGCGGATGTTGTGACTGAGTAAGTAGGGTTTCTTTTCAGTTACGTTGGTGTACATAGAGGAGGAGACCTTGGAGGAAAAGTGCAGCAACCATTAGCAAAATATGAAGATAGCCCTGGAAATCAGGAGGCGGTGAGGAAGAAACAGGCGATTGCCCCACCCTGACTGCCTTTGGTGCAAATGGGAGGGAAGGGGACACAGGCATTCGAGGTAGGCAGGGCAGGGATATCACAAGAAATGCTACAATTGTACTTTTATCCAAAGAGGCTATAATAGCAAGACCTTGAGGTAACCAAAGGCACGTGGAGAAAGGAGCTGGTGGATCGATGCTTATTGGAAACGGCAAAGGGATCTGCCTGAGACTTGGTGGGCTTCAGGCTCCAGGTGGGCCCTTTCCTCTTCTTGGACACGGCTGTGTGGCAGAAAAGCTGCATGGCCAGACTCACATTGGCAGAGCCTACTTTTGAAGGGGGCAGGGAAGCATGGTTGCAGAGTCCTTCCGTGGCAAATGAGGCAAGCCAAAAGGGGTGCCATCTGCTCAAGCCCCCTCAGAGAGACCACGGGGCATTGCCTGCCCTCAGGCAGCAGGTCCTTGCAGAAGTGCTTAAGAATTAAGAACCCCTTGGAGAGACCTCCTGCTCATCTTCTCTACGACCCCTGCCCCCTTATTGGCCTTATTATTATGACTTTTATTATTCTCTTGCTTTGCAGGTACACTGGGAGTTTCTGCACTGGAGACAAATTCCTTGCGTATCTCAACACACTTGGCCAAATAAAGAATATTCTTATTCTGTACTGTACTGTACTGTACTGTTCTGTTCCATTCTGTCCCATCCCGTCCCACCCCATCCCACCCCTCTGTTCTGTTCTGTTCTATTCTACTCTACTCTACTCTAATCTACTCGTGTGGGATGCTCTTTTCTATTCCTAATTAATTGATTCCCCACTTGTCCCTCTGATTCTGGGACACTGTTTATTAGTATTTAGTGAGACTCCTTTAAAACTGTCATTTACTAGCCATATAAATTCTCTTAAATAAAATAAAATAAAATAAAATAAATCATTTCTTGGGGCTTGGTTGGTATGCCATATTTTAATTATTTGGAATCTTGATTAGAAATGTTTGATTTTATTAAACCTCAGATTTATCTCTTGGGATAATTATGCAGAAGTAAGCCCTCACGCCCACTTTCCATGCAAAAAGCTTTGAATTTCCTTGGTGTGTTGTGTTATTTTGAGTTTGCATCAAAAGCTGGATAATCCTGCTTCTTGGGAAGAAATCAGAAATCTGAAATCTCACCTCATCTTGGACAAAAGACTTTATCTTCTCCTCATCGGAAATGCTTCCTTGAGGTTGACAATGCAATGTATGACAGGGGGAAGAAAAGAAAAAAGTTAGTCCCCACAGCAGAGAAAGACAGCTCGAGCATACAGTATAATACGCCGTGATTTATAAAGCAAGGCTCGGATGGGGTCATTTCTGCTGGTACTCTGGAAGGCAGGCATTGGATCAGCTGCACTAGGAGTAGAGGAAGCCTCCTTCCCTCCTGCAATCCCCTGGCTCATTTCCTTCCTGCTGTCTGTCTGATGAGTTCACTGAATTTTACGTAATAACTCAGTCTTAATTTATAGGCACCGGGGGAAAAAACTGCAACATTTTGCAGAGACAAACAACTGAGGAGCCTTTACCATTTTATTTCTGTTGAACAACTCAGGGTTTCAGAGGAACTTTAAAACAGGTAGTTCTCAACTTACGACTGTTCATTTAGTGACTGCTCTAAGTTATAACAACAGTGAAAAAAGTGACTCATGGCCATTTTTCACATGACCGTTGCAGCATCCCCAGGGTCACACGATCAAAATTGGCAACTGACTCATATTTATGATGGTTGCATGTCCTGGAATCACGTGATCCTTTTTGCGACCTTCTGACCAGCAAAGTCGACGGGAAAGTCAGGCTCACTTAACAGCCATGTTACTAACTGAACACCTACAGTGATTTGCTTAACTGCTGTGGCAAGGAAGGCCATAAAATGGGACAAAACCCGCTTAGCAAACTGCCTCACAGGCAGATACTTTGGGCTCAACTGTGGCCGTAAGTCGAGAACTACTTGTAGAACGTAGCATACCAGTCTCCAGCTCGATCTCAGATGTTCCTTCCTCTTCTGCATGATGCAATATTTCTGCTGAATAACAACAACAACAATAAAACACAACTATAGTCCTGAATAGTTATCAGCCTTCAAGAGAAGCCATGTAGGTCGAGGTACATGGAAGGGGACAGGAGAAGCAACACCAGGGAAGGATTTGGGGTGAAAAGCGGACCTACAAGACAGAGGGATTACTAACTGGTGCAGGGAGGTTGGTTTAACAAAGGCCTCGGAGATCCTTTCCTGAAGGATCCTGAATGCGGTCCTTCTCCCTTCTCCCTCTCATGATGCTTACGGATGAACAGGGGACAAGGAAGAGCCTGCCTCTTCCATCCGGAGAGGGAATTCTCAAGAGAAGGAGGTTATTATAGCTTTCAAAATGTAGCAGAACTGCTTAGGAAACTTCATCCTTAGCCCATTTGAACTGGTTCCCTTTAGGGTAAGACAGGGGATAGGTGGCCAAGCCAAATATTTTTCCAATTAGCCCTGGATATTCAGAGTTCAAACAGATGCTGGCAGCATTTTCAAACTTCCTTCCTTCCTTCCTTCCTTCCTTCCTTCCTTCCTTCCTTCCTTCCTTCCTCCTTCCCTTCCCTTCCCTTCCCTTCCCTCCCTCCACAATTGGTTATTTCAATATTAAATTCTTTTATATTTGTTAACATTTCTAAATCATTCATAAATCCTAATGGGATTGGAATTGATACCACGCTAACTTCTGGAATATTAAGGAAATAGCACCATTTTTGCAACTTACTGCCTTCTGTGGTCTCACTTTTCTCTTTTCCGTCTGTACTTCTCTGCTCCTTCGTTTCTATTTCTAAATGAGAAATATTATGACAAGAATCAATTAGAGAATCGCATTTGTTTTGTCTCTCACCATACTGGAGCCCATCTAGCCGATCTTAGAACACCTCTGTTGAAGAGAATCCATCTCTTCTCTGAGCCATCAATATCCCCCTGAATTGCTCTTACTAATTGCAAGGAGGCAGAGGAGGGGGCTCTGCCAACCCCCTATTTCCTTGTCCCCAGCCCCCTCCTTGGAAGCCCAGCCTCTCAGCCCAGCTTCCTCCAGAACTTACCCAGTTCACTGGAGTCTTCAGAGCTGACCGAGTAGCTCCATTCAGTCTGAGTCTCCAAATCAGCAACTTCCCGTTTTCTGCAGGAAGGGAAAACAAATTCTGGAAGAAATTTCCTATCAGGAAGCAGCTCAAAAATGCTCTGCTCTTATCAGAGGGACTATTTATTTATTTACTAACTGCTGTAATAATTTATACTCATATTTAATTATGATAAAGTATACATAATTATTAAATTAGAAATTGCACCAAAATACATTTTTACAAATCTAAGAACCAACTAAAAATGTCACAATTTTGTCTATAAAGCAACTGATACTAGTTTAGCTTGCCTTATGCCAGAAGAAGCCAGTCTGAAATATCAAATAAATCCGGAGCAATTAAAGCTCCAAATGTTTTCCCATAAGCAATTATTTTATTTATTAAATTTATATGCCACCCATCTTGCTCTCCAATTATAAATAGAGGGAGCTTCAATCATACTGTTGTGGCTACTGTCTTGACTTTGTTGTCCTTATTTTGCAGACATGACACTGAAATATATAACTCGATAATATCATCAAGTATATGATGCAAGGAGAGAGAAAAATGATGCATGTTTATTGTCTCATTGCATTTCAGAATTATTACTTTATCTGCAAATGTTTTCAAAATACTTAGACAAATATATTAAATCCATTTCACAAAAATAAATTATTTTAAATAATATAAGTGTACATTCTTGGAAGTAAGGCCATTGAAAACAACTGAAAATATATTCATTCATTCATTCATTCTCTATATTATGAATCTGTCAAATCAGAGTATGTTCATGTAATTATATTGGTAACAGTGCCAAAATAAATTGCTCTATTTCTACCTAACATATAATATTTGTATACCCTATATACATTCTAAAGCTTCCAAATATCAAAAATGAAAAAAAAGAGAGAGAAATAGGAAAGAGAACAATTGAATTCGATTCTGCCTTTCTCTTGGCTGTATGAATAAAAAAAAATCAAACAAATGCTTTCCTTCACTTGCTTAACTCCTTGCAGATGTCATCATGGGGAAAATCATCACTGACTCTATTGGAGGGTCTAATAATTCAAGAAAACTAGATCTGGACTAAATGGAATTGGAGCCACTAGATGGTACCATGCATTAGATAGTTCTGTGTTTCTTTGCTGCCATCTAGTGAGTGTCTGAATTTTTGCAGATCTGGTCGCCCTACTTAACGAATTGTTTACTTTAGACAGACCTAGTGCAATTCCTGCTATTGGAAAGGATGTGACTGAAATAGGCAGAAACACCTCTTACTTGGGTGACTGAGTTTCAGGAACTGGAGCTGACAGAGGTCTTGTCTGGAAATCTACACAGAGGAAGAAAAAATTTTTTTGGGAAATCATAATAAAAATGGGAAAGTTGCTTTCATCAGCTCTACAAGGCACAGTACAGGATTATCCACTAATTTGTAACTAAATCCTCAAATACGTTGAAGTCCCATTTGATTTTTGTTTAATTTGTTGGTTAGATGGGATTTTTTGTAATGGGAATTTAAGTCAATTTACTTAATGCATTCCAGAATATTTCACATCAGGGATTATGTCTTGCATCGTGTCTGTGCAAGGCATTTTACATGTGTCCTTATCAAGGAGACAAGGAGAAGGACCTTGCAAGCTGCAGTCCTCAGAGACACACATGTTCCAATGGTTTTGCGGAACATCTTTTCAGTGTGCAGGAGAATTTGGGGGGGTTAGGATTTCAGTCCCTATTGAGGAAAACACCATATCCCATTATCACTTCCTTGATTTAGACCAATCCATCTCCAGATACTTTTTAACTTTAAAATAATATTTAGTTAGCCATTTCGGGCACAGGGTGAACAGTTTATGGAAGAAGCTCATGGAATGCACTTCCAGGTATATATATAAAGAAAATAATCTACAGCTACCTTTTCCTAAAGTTTGATTGGCGTTTTCTGGGTAACCTTCACGAAGAACTCTTGATTCATTTGACACCGCCTGCTCCCTGCTCTCCTCCGTCTTGGTGCCACTCTCAGTCAAAAAGCGATTACTTTCTTCAATATATGTTTCTATTGACCACTGAGCAAGATCCGATTTAGCCACAGGGTTCTCCTCCTGATGTTTTTTGACATTTTCAACTGTGAGGAGAGAGCTGGAAAGCTTACTACTCTCTGGCTTGGGTGCTGGATCTGGGGATGCTTCTGAAGTCACCTGTTTTTTGCTACCAGTTTTTGTGGGGTTTGGAGTTTTTGACATTTTTCCAGGGCATGAAACAAGACTGTTTTCTGAAAGAAAAAAGCATTGCTATATTATTTCTTCTATTAAGAAATAGAAGAAATGTGCTTTTCTAAGAAAACATGCAATATTTGAATCAATATTATTATATTTGTTTAGTGCTGTTTTTGAACTCAGACTTGGCCCTGAGCATCAAAGATTCCAGAAGACATTACAAAATACATCCGTATGATCTTCAGCAAGTTTTATATTCTCCTTCTGGAACTCTGGAACTCTAGGTGAAACTCCTTCGCATCACAAAGTTTAGACTTGAAACAGTGTGCATATAATTCCATCAAAATTGGCTTTTTCATGGATTGTACTAATAAAAGAATTCTGTTATGGGGTACTTGATCGCCTGCTGGAGGACACAACCAAGATATGAGTTATAAAGCTGAGTTGGTGAGCATATTCTTTATTATTAACCCTCCCCAAAAGGAACAAGAATGGAAGGGAAACAAAGAAATTTAGGGTTTCAGCCTGTGTGATTATGCTGTCCAAATTGGACAGTAAAACAACAGAATTAGAGGTTGGGATCCATACCATAAAGAACTCCCAGGATGGGATTGCCCTAACTCCCTTTCATAATTCCCTGAGATCACTTAAGGAGAAAGAACATTTAGTTGTTTTAAGGACAGATCAGAGATACCTGCCAACTCATTTTAATAAGGCAGTCTCTGAGTTTTTAATACAGTACTGAGTGGGCCTTTCTCTTAACTCAGCCCAGTAAATCATTTGGATGGGTGGCTTAGTAGTTTAGCAGTAATTCTGTCCAAACACAACAAAAAGATTTAGAAGGTAACTGTTGTGGCCCATTAGCGGCCTGTGCAGCTAGTAGCTGATTCCGACAGCGAGGAGGCTGGTGTGGTGCTGCGCCAGCAGCCTGTGCAGCTGGTGCTTGAGTCGGACAGTGAGGAGGCTGGAGAAGATGTGGTGCCAGAGGCGGGGATTCAGCCAGGGCCTTCAGAAGCTCCAGAAGCTCCCTTAAGTGAAGAGGAAGAAGAGGAGGAGCCTCTTTTCAATTCACGGGCGCCCAGAGCTGCCAAAAGGCAGGAGTGGCTCCTCAGGAGGAGGTCTCCTCGAGAGTAAGGCTTGGGATTAATTGGCTACTCCTCTAGCCTATTTAAGGAAGGACGACGACTGATGCAATTTGCAGGAAACAACTTCGTTCATATTCCTTCGCGTCGATTCCAGAAACGTTTTATTCGGTTCTTGTTTCTCTCGTCAGTTTTCCTGCAAATTGCTTCTGGGCATTCTGCCAACCACAGTAAGATTACGGTTATCTGAAATACTGTCCTCAGAATTGAGTTATTATTCTTTGGATTCTTGTCGGCTGTTAATGAAGTTAAATTAACAGCCCTTGTTCAGAAGACTGATTTAAACTATACTTGTGTTCGAACAACTACTAAGAAAGCTCATTAGTAGTCCTTAATTAGTAAACTAAGGTTTGTACAGACTTTGTGTGTGCTGCATTCTTTGGGGTCCGTAACTGGGGCAGAACAGTAACATGCAAAACAGCCAAGATTACATCTACCCTTCCCAGGTTAAACTTGACATAGTATCTAATATTCAGAGGTACTCCACCTTTGTAGTAACTACGATGTCAGTGGGGAAACTTCCAGGCATAGAAAGATTCCTTATGTAACCTCAGAATGAAGCATCTAGGTTGACAGAAGATTCCCTGAATTGGACAACCATTGAGGACTGGGTCTTCCATAGAGAAGACAGAAGGACAGCAACCACCATTTTATATCTCCCTAAAAGGAGCACAGCTTTTAAAGGCTGGAAAGCATCAAACGATATCAACTCTGCTACATCACAGTCCTATCAACTTTGTTTTAGCTATGGAGAGAATATGAAGTAAAGATTGGAAAATCATTCAAATTCAGATTCAAATCATTGATTGATTGGATTAAATTGGATTCATTTGATTGAACAATTCGGCTATTGGTGATGCATGGTTTTTACCTACCAGTCTCCTGGCACTAAGGAGAATGGCAGAAAGCTGCCATCACTATGAATTTTGCAGACGTCCCTGTTCCAAAGGATGGTTCATCACTCAGTCAGCATCCTTCTTGAAATGTACCGCTGGATCCTTTGTGACAGTCCACGAGAAAAGCATGAAGGTAATGAAGCTCTTTTGCACCTTGCCTTCCTAGCAACTGGTATCCAGGTCTAATATTCAGAAGGTTCCATGCAGCCATTGTGACTAATAGCTAAAGGTCAACTTATCCTCCATGACATGATCTTGTCACTTGCTCACATCTTACACTATCAAGATTCCATAAATGAAGACTGTAGTGCAATTATATATACACATCAATCACCCATAGTGCATCATGAAGTCACTTAAGAAGGGTTATGGTAGTGAATTCTACTCTCTGGTAAAATAAAGGGAGAATTTTAGTGGGAATATCCTCGGAGTTTTTTGCCTGGAAAATTCTGGATGGGCTGGCTCAATAAAACTTTTTCTTGTTTGCTATTAAATTATTATTTATCAAATGTAAAACATTTTATCATATATAAATATGTTGCACTCCTTAATGGCGTTAGTATTTAGATTAATATTGAATGACAACCCCCTTTGCAGCATTGAATGCTAAGATGGCTCAGCTGGGGACTTCAGTTAAGTAAACACTATTAGCCTTGAGATGCATTTGGCCCTGTTTTAAAAAAAACAAGTAAGTAAACAAACTCTATTGGCCTTGAAATTCATTATTTCCTGTTTATCTTTAAATAAATGCTGTTCACATTGGGGCTCATTCAAACAAACATGCTTATTTTGAAAAACAAAATAAATATGACTTGTTTCCTATTTTTAATAAATAAATGAATAAGTGTTACTAGTCTTCAAACTTGAAATTGCTTTTTATTTAAAAAAAAAGATTTAAAAATGCTAAAAATGTTGGTACTGTCACCTTGATGTATGTAGTTTCCTCTCTGTTTTTGAGAGCATGTGCACCAAAGACAAATTCCTTGTGTGTCCAATCACACTTGGCCAATAAAGAATTGTATTGCATTGTATTGTATTTTGCTAAATAAATAAATACCTAAACAAATGCTTTGAGCTTTGAGAGTGCCAAAGGGGATCTTATTTGAAACGCAGCTGGATTCCTGATTTTTCTTTAAGGAATGTCAGAAAGTCCAGTTGCCTTTAAAGTGAAAGCACATTTGGGGCAACCCTGCCGTCTGGGTGAATGAGAGACCCTCCATAGGCATCAGCCTCGTCCTTCCTTTTGATTTTGAGGCACCCCCTCCTCCAAATGGCAGCTGAAGGGGAGAGCAATGTTGGGGTACTCCGGGGACCCTGCAGGCATTTCGGGGTGCGAGGAAACGTCCCTCATGGAGGGAACGCAAATAACTGCATTCCAAATAACTGCAGAGCGGCCTTGAAACCGTCGCCCATAGATCACTCTAACGTTCGCAAGTCTAGGGTCCCGCTCGCCACCCCGCCGGAAGTGGCTCCGCTCTCGGCGGATGTTTTTGTCCGTTTCGGCTTCCGTAGGCCGCCGGGGTTCTCCTTCCGCCTCGTCGGCGCTGCTGGCTGGCCGGGGCCGAGAATGGCGGCGGAGCGGCTGAGCTGGTGGGAGCGCCCCGAGCGGCCCTTGGCGCCTCTCAGCGAGCGGCAGCGGGACTCGGTGCTGGAACTGCGCGGGGCCTCGCCGGGGCTGCCCCTTCCGCCCGAGGTAGGCCGGCTGGTTGCCCGCGGCGCCGCGCAGGGATGGAATGTTGCCTCGGCTCCCGCTTCGTCCGGATCCTGAGGGAGGGAGGGAGGGAGGGAGGGCGGAGAAGCCAGCGCCGGAGGCCTTGTGCGAAGGGCTAGGCAGGAGGAAAGGAGGCCACGCGGAAGCCCCTGGGAGGGTCGGTTGCTAGGGAAGCCCTGCGTCGCCAGTGGGAAGAGATGGGGAAGAGGCCCTTTGAGGGCGCCCTCCCCTCCCCTCCCCTCCTCCCCCCCCACCCCTTTTGCAAACCTGAACTTGGTGGTTTTCTTGCAGACTTTTCATTACCCAACTAGGTAACATCATCAGATAATGTCATCAAATGTCAGAAGTGCATCTCACTCACTGCGGCCGCGTCATGCGGGGGAATTCGCTGGAGAAAGCAATTATGTTTGGAGGAATTAGTGGTAAAAGGAAACCAGGCCTCCAAAGAAGACGGTGGCTGGACACCCTCAAAGCTGAGCATAAAAGAACTCAAAAGAAGCAGCGCAAGATCAGAAGATGGCCAGAGAATCGCCAAGAGTCAGACACAACCGAATGGATACCATCGTCTTCTTCATCATCATCATCATCATCGGTCTAGAAGGGATGGGGTTTGCTCTAGCAAAGCCTCCCAGCACTGATGATGCCCCCTAGTTGGGTCATGAAACATCTGCAAGAAAACCGCCAGGCTGAGAGAGCTCCCAGGACCCCTCGTTTCAACCCTGAGCTGCAAAGATTCTCCTTTATTGGGTTGTAAACCTGATTTCGTTTGTACTGTTTACACAATACGATTAGACATTATTTAAACATCCTATTATTTTGAAAGCTTAATGTACAGAAACTAGGGAAAGAAAAGTGAAAATTGTATCAATATTAGTTGGAATTTAGGATGTCAAGATTACATGAGTAAAATTATGCAGCTTGGCTTTTTTAGCATGACCTGAATGTTAATTGCAATTTAATATTACAGTTTGGCTCTTGGACCCTGTGATTCTTATTGCTACTCAAGGATTGTGGTGGGTTTATCAGGGTCTGATTCTTCCTTGGTATTTAAATATGACTCGATTTGAATGTGTATATTGTATATATACATATAGTGTTTAAAGACTTCGTTTCAATATTTTATCACATAGCAACCAGACATGATTTACTTGTACAATACTGTCAACTGCCAGGAGTCTTATGGGCTTCACAGGATGGGAACTGAATTTTTTTTTTCTTTTTAACAGCTACCCATAGAAGATTTAAATAGCCTTGTCCAGCCATCGTTAACAGTCACGCTGACAGCCACATTGCCAGAGTCTACAGAGAACATTCTCTTGAAAGGATTCTCTTCTTTTGGTATGGAAAATGAAAGAATTGAAACGGCACAGCAGGTAAAAAGGAAACAAAGGAACTGCAAGCTCTTTTTGATTCTGGTAGAATACAAAAGACCACAGACTTGACTGGTTGTGCAGAGATTCCGTTGCAAAAGGAAAAGGTGACTTGGATCACACAGGAAGAATTTGTGTCTGTCTTTGACTGGCCAGAACCAGGAAAAGACGCCTTTGATTTGAGGAGATTTGGATGGCTGCAGCAACAAGCAAATTTCCTTTTCAGATTCATATCCCCTGCGCAGCTCTAATTACTAATTTGGCCATTAGCTTTCCAATTCCAGTTGGGACTGAAATAAGCAGTTCCTGGATGGCTGGTGCATTTTTGTCTTTTCTTTAGTTTGGGTCATTTTGAGGAGTCAGATGATCTGCTTTGCCCCCAGAACTCCAGAGTGGGCTTTCAAGTGACGTTGATGGAGTAAATTTCACTTCCTTTGGCTTGGGTGAAAATGGGAGGAAAAATGAATGATGGGATTTGGGAGGGAAGAATTGACAAGTTTACGCAAATAGTAATAATAATAGTAATAGTAGTTGAGAGCCAGTTTGATGATGTGATTAAGGCACCTGGCTACAAACTGGGAGACTGTGAGTTCCTGTCTTGCTTTGGGCACAAAGCCAGCTAGTGACCTCCCATCAACCCCTGGAAGGAGGCAATGCCAAACCGCTTGTGGGAAACCTTGCCAACAAAAATGCAGCCCCTGACTCAAGAAGTGGATGCAATTGAATAGGAGGGGGGAAATGCAGCTCTCTTCCGATTTTGATTGACATTTGATAAATCCTTTCCTAAAATATTTCTTCAACTTGTTTAGGAATATAGCAAACAATAAAGAGAACAAAATTGTCTGCTTCATCTGAATTAAGGGTGATTTTTAAGAGCCTTGTCCTTTCATTGGTCTAGTTCTTCTCCTGGTTTGATCAACTTCATACACAGATGGATCAAGATGAGGAGACCAAATACCGGTATGTATATATACTGTATTTTTTGGAATATAAGATGTACCTTAGTTTATGGGGAGGAAAATTGGGGGGGGGGAATTCTGCCTACCAGGTATTCATCTGGTTAGTCCCAGCACATTAGTTCACTTGCTGGTTTTGAGGTTGGGGCTGTGCTTCCAAAGCACGGCTGATTGTCGGAGGGAGCAGCAATTAGAAAAGCAGGCAAAGCACGGAAGATTGCTTTGCTCGCATTGAGGCTGAAAAACAGCTTCAAAAGCACAGCTAAATCCTCGGAGGGAGCTCCAGTGACTAAAGCAGGCAAAGCGCAGAAGGGGTAAGAGAAGGCAGCAGCTGTTCCGGGTAGCCATTTTGGGCATCGCGCAGGGTTACATTCGGAGTATAGGACGCACCCAAATTTTCAGCCTCTTTTAGGAGGGAAAAAAGTGCGTCTTATACTCAGAAAAATACGGTATGTATTTTACTTCCCTTAATTGTAAGGTAAATATGTGCAGTATCCATCAATAATGACTAAAGCAGCCGATATGAGCTTTAATTCCTTCAATATCTTGTACACTTAGCATTGTTTTCTTCCTTTGTTTTATGTATTCAACAAGATATTTGGAACTTTAAAGTCATTTTGTATATTCTGTTATTTCTCCAGTTTACACAAAGCTATTTTCTCTTGATTTTTCTAATGAACTTTTTCTCTTTTTTAACCGTCTCCCTCCCCATGTGTCCTAGTTTCCCCAAATGAACCATGGTATACATAGAATTACCATACGTTATACTGCACGCTGTAGCTATACAACAGGCAATCCAACATTTCGGCATTGTTTTATCAATTCTCCCATTGCTACTACAAACACTTAAAGGCACTGTGGTTTGTGTGTTTCTCCAAGGCTGGCCAGGGCAGCTTATTCTGGATTTGAAGAGCAGTGTGATGCCATACTGAACGATGTGAATTGTGCTCTTCAGCACCTTAAGTCACTGCAGGAACAATACCTCTTTGTCTCAACCAAAACAGGAACCCTGCATGAAGCCTGCGAGCAGCTGTTAAAAGAGCAGGTAACCTCAGGGTTGAATGGCAGAAGATAAGCTTAGCCTTCTCATGTCCCAAGGCCACAAATGAAGGAATTGATGTCTTGGAGGAGTCTAGTATCACATTCCTTAGACCAGGTATTTTAATAAACTGTTACACAGAGAGTGGTCTACCACCATGAACAAATGCCTTAGAAGTAAGAGGAATTGTTATCATAGTTATCTTTTTAACCTGCCTTTTATATATAATTTAGATATAGAAATAGGAGGCAGAAATATCAGGTATGTTTGCCACCTTACTTATATATAAGTAAGGCGGCAAACATACCTGATATTTCTGCCTCCTATTTTTCCCACAATAATAACTCTGTGAGGTAGGTTGGGCTGAGTGAGAGGGACTGGCCCAAAGACACCCAGCTGCTTTCATGCCGAAGGGAAGCCTGGACCTCCCCATCTCCGGGTTTCTAGGTCAGCACTGGGATGCTGACACCAAACTGGAACTCATTGTAGTTCAACTTGCTACCTGGATCTGAATTACGAATTAAGAAATGATTGATTAACTTAGTTTTTTACAATAGTGTTATTCTCTTCTGTGTAACACTGTCATACCAAGTTTATATCCAAGTGAAATGTTGGGAACTATACTAAAATGCTAATATAAATGTAATAACTATAAATCTGTGCTTTTAAAGAGGCGATTCCATATTGTATGTGATAACATGCTTTTAATTCCCGCCTGGACTACTGCAATGCTCTCTACA